TTTACTCTTATTTACCACAATTACCCTGTTTCTCCAACAATACGGCCTCCCCCAATAGGAAGTCCCAGCATGTTTTATAGGCATGAAATGAAATTAAGCCCCTCCCCCCAAATTAAGGCCTATATTAAAACATGCTAAATGGGGGGAATGGTGGGGGGGCTTGCCGTTAGGAAGTACTTTTGTTGCACACCCGGATATGGTGCTGCCTGCGTTGACTTCGATACGAAGTGCCCCACCAACGCCGAGGTCAATATCCAAGCTGTCACCGCCCGCCCGAAGATGCAAGGGGGGGGGAATTAAGTCACCCCTGAAAAGACGACCTAGCCATTTTTTCGGGGCTCAAAAAAAAATAAGACCCGGTCTTATTATATGAGAAACACGGTAGCTGCTCAGATAGTCTGACAGAGGTAGAGATTGCGATGTCCACCCAGTAAAAGATCTGTAGCTCCTAGACAAACAGATTGCTGCTAAAAAACTGGTCATGAAAAATTCCCTATATTTTTTAAAGGGAAGCATTTTTGGACTGGCTTCATTTAAGACATAAACCTCCAATCTGATTCTGAAAAATACCTTGAAGACTGATTGTGCCCTTGGGCTTTCTTTGGATTTCATTCCCATTACAAGAAACAGGATGTTGTCAGCCATAGTGGTAGTAGGGAACTCCTGGTAATAAAATATTTATATTGACTATTTAAAAAAATGGAAATTCATCCGAAAGTCAGAACTCATGGTTTGATGTACACTGATGTCACATTTGGGAGGTGAATTTAATTTGCTTGCCTGTTCTAGATTTAATTGGCTATGTTTGCATAACACAGAAAACATAAACAATGAATCATGACCCACAGTGGCTAAGCCGGAAGCAAACAAATCACTTTATCTTGTTGTTTAAAGCCATCATCATGCTTTTTGTTTTAGCATGTTGTATGAACTATTTCTAGCATGTTCTGTGAACAAAGCTAAATGTGAGATCACAGGGAATATGATCCCTTCCTGGATAATAAATAGTGGCTAATAATAGTTTCAATGTGGGCATTTTTAATTATGATCCCTTATTGTATAAAACAAATGATGATTTGTTGAAATCTATATGTGAATCTATAGCAAAAATCAATTTTTGTTTTTCTAGTCTGGTTCAGAGAAGAAAAACCAAATGCTATGCTGCTTACTTACCATTTCCCCCCCATTCAGTTGTATGTTCAAGGTTGACTCAGCCTTCCATCCTTCCAAGGTGGGTCAAATGAGGACTCAAATTGTTGGGGGCCATATGCTGACTCTATAAAACTGCTTAGAGAGGGCTGTAAAGCACTGTGAAGTGGTATATAAGTCTAAGTGCTATTGCTATGTGATTCTTGAAAACTGCAAGGACAAGTCCCTGCCATTTTCTTGGCAAGGTTTTTCAAAAGTGTGGTTTTCCATTATCTCCTTCCTAGGGCTGAGACAGGCTAACTGGCCCAAGGTTACCCAGCTGGCTTCGTGCCCAAGGCAGGACTAAACTCCTAGTCTCATCCTTTCTAGCCTTATACTCTAAACTGGCTTGAGTACTAACCAATTAACTTGTAAATTATCTGACAATTTCCTGAATTTTATTCTTTTAAGAGTGTTACTTTGTAGCAACACATATGCTGCATATGAATCATTATTACGACGGAGGGCAAGAAGACACTCATACAGATATAAAATTTCAATTTTGTCTGACATGTTAGTAAAATGCAACACTCAGTC